GAGAGAGAGAGAAAGAAGAAGGAGAGAGGGAACGGAAGAAGAGAGAGAGAGAGAGAGAGAGAGAGAGAGAGAGAGAGAGAGAGAGAGACCAAACACATATGTGGGGGGGGGGGGGGGGGGGGGGGGGGGGGAAAGTGTGGTATGCACACACATCTTAATATATAAATGAATTCCTATACTTTTCATTTTACTATGAAGTCCAACTGATTCAAATCATTGCCCTGCATCCTTTTTTAATTTGTGTTTTTAGACAATCTCCTAGCCTTGAAGGCTGTTGTCATTTTCAGCTGTTTTACCTTGGGAAAAGAGCATAACTGTTGAGTAGTTTAGAGTCACAATTCCCCAGTGTGAGGATACTTGTTTTACAGAGCTTAGGTTGGGACTGAAGCATAGAAGAACATTACTCTGACTCTGTCCCTGAAGCCATGCCCCCCCCAAAAAATCTCTTTCTGTGTTTTGACAGTGCTGGGCTTGACACATGCTAGGGCTGTCAGGCAGGTAAAAATACTTGTTTTGAAAGGCCTCTTCCATCCCCAATTAAAAGAAGTTTGGGAGCATATACAGACCTTTTTTTGAAGACATATACACAAAATGTTATGTCATTTCTTTCATTTAAAAAATATTAGTGTATAATCATTGTACAAGTAGTGAAAGTTTTCACTGGTATTTTAAGGTTGGGCCTTTTTAATTAGCAGGATCCTTTTATCCAGTGCCATATCAATACAACATTATCCCCTGACTTATTTGTGAATTCCAATGACTGGATTTGCACTTCTGAAAGATATTTCTAGCCCTGTAATTACTTGATTTTACTTCTAGGGAAGTTGGCTTTTAGGGGTGGGTAGCTATTGCCATCTATTGATAGTGGCTAAAAATTACAACTAATTAAAGTGCTGGGAGTGGAGGAGAAAAGCTCTAGGTATTAGTATAATGTCTTTCCCCACATTTTAAATGATGTTTGGTAGAAAGCGAAGCAATTTAGATTTACTAGGTGATAGATAACATTAAAAACACATGCAGTGATGTGCATCTTTCCAGAATTCTGTTAGTTTGGAATACACGATGTGGACTAAATCTTCAAAAGTAAAATAACTGCTCCCCCCGCCCCCCATCAGAGTCTCGAAAGAGACACCTGCACCGAAGTGACCCTGTGGCTAGCAGAATGATTTGCTTTTTTGAAGCTGACCAAAAATAACCTTGAACTTGTCTCTTAGGGCCATGGTCACAGAGATACTGTTTTTCTAAGAGCTTGCAAAAGCAAAATAGGTTTCATGAACTGAGGTGTAGCTCAGTGGTCAAGTATGTGCTTAGCATGTGTTAGGGTCTGGATTTAATCCCCGGCATGAAAATCAAACCAGAATCACTGTTGCCACCACCACAAAACCTAGTAGACTTCCTGGATGGTAATGATTGCTGAGTGTTTCACAGATCTGTGACAGGTGGGGAGACAAAAGTCAACCACCCACCAGATTGCTGGGTCAGGAAGTAGTTTTCATTTCTTTTAAGGTGATAGAGCTTGCCCTCGGTTGGTAGAGTGGAAGGATAGACCTTGGGTTTGTGCTGTCTTCTTCCTACATGTGTGATTATTCATTTGACCTTGCAGGTTAATGTTTACATTTTTTTATTTGTTACTCTTGTGTGAGTTATGTTGATGATGTGTTGTGGGCACCCATGACACATATATAGAGGTCAGATAACCATGTCTTGGAATGAGTTCCAGGAATCCAAATCAGGTGGCTAGGCTTTTATGGCAAGAGCCTTTATCTGATTTACTATCTCCATGGCCTGTAAATTATATTTTGAAATACTGAAAATACTGAAATGATTCTTCCTTTCTCAGCTCAGAAGATAAGATAACAGTCCACTTCAAGAACCGTGATGGCGAAACACTAACGACCAAGGGAAAAGTCGGTGACTCTCTGCTAGATGTTGTGGTTGAAAATAATCTAGATATTGATGGTTTTGGTAAGTGTTCCTGAAACTTCAAAGGTAAATTTCTGAATAGGTTATAGGATTTTTTGTTTGTTTGTTTGTTTGTTTGTTTTACCTTTTAAATTATAACATTCTCAGCAAATATTATAATTTAGGGCATGTTGAAAAATTTTTTATTTGCAAAGATTAGAGTAGGGGCTGGAGAGATGGCCCAATGGTTAAAACCACATACTGCTCTTCCAGAGGATCTGAATTCTGTTCCCAGCACCCTGGTCACTTGGCTCATAATTGCCTGAAATTCTGGCTCCAGGGGATTCTACACCCTCTTCTGTTTTTTCCAACACTGCACACATATGGCATATACTCAGGCAGAAACATACTCACATAAACATCTAAAAAAATTCAAGATGAATAATAGAGTGACACTATTTTTTACTTTTAGAAAAGAATTTAAATAGCCATGTGGCTCAGAATCAATTGTGGCCTTTTGCCAACTGTTCACCTGTGCTGTAAGCCGGCGAGTTTGGGAGAGGTGGAAGATGCAGGTCAGAGGTGGTTTTTACCATAGCACAGAGCAGTATTGCATAGCTTCAATTTAACTTTAAATGTCATCCTACTTTCTCAGGATGGGTTTTCTTGTCTTTACTTCTGACCATATTGTCTAACCACATGTACAAAGCTGGTGTTTCCAAACCTTCATATTACACCTCAGGGAAGCACTGACTGCATCTAAATGATTCTTTTCTGAGAGTTCTTTGGCTCATTGCCATCTTTGTCACTGGAGAAATGCACAGTTTTGGGCTCACACACAGGTAAAATATTCACACACATAAAAAATAAAATAAAAATATTTTTCAGAATGTGCTTTGGTCTGTAATAATACAGCCTGACTATTTTGCTTCAGGATCCTCATTGGGTTGATCAAGCTGCACAGCTTGACAAGAGCAGTAGTGTTGAGGCATTTTAGCTTGGTCAATTCTCATTTTCCTAGAATCACCTCCCCTCAACACATACACCCAATCTGCAGCATTCTTGGGAAGTGGCAACCCTGCAGTTCTAGTGTCGGTGAAAACTGTCCCCTGTGTGACTACTGGAAGGCAGACTGGGTTCAAAGTACTCAAAGAAGTCCCATTCCCAGAGTAGGAATACCCACAGATAGAGATGCCCATAGAAGGCTTTAAGAGGCTCTGGGGATGGAGAAGATACAGACTCTACTCTCTCATCTGTGTCTGACAGTGAGGACCTAACATGCAAGAGTGAAGACTAATGTGCAAATTGCTTGGTTGCTGAAGTATTTGCCTAGTTACCTGAACCTATTGACAGAACATGGAAAGCCTCTTGGCACCAGACATTTAAACCTTTGGCCACTAAGCTGGGAGTCACCCTGAGGAATGTGAGCTTTAGACGATTTGTCTAGAACAGTGACTAGATAACACAGCAGCAATGGCCACCAATGAGCAGCAACTGCAGCACACCTGGGGCAGGGTGTGCTCCTTGTTCCCAGTTTCCACATTGCGATATCTGCATGTGCACAGAAAAAGAAATTCAAGATACATGAAGAGCAAGGTATGGCCCTTACTTGGAAAACCAAAGGACTGTCAACAAGGAAACCCAGATGTTAGACTTATTAGACAATTTTTGTTTGTTTGTTTTTTGAGACAGGGTTTCTCTGTGTAGGCTTGGCTGTCCTGGAACTAACCAAATGGTTATATCAGGTTTAAAAACTGTATGGCAGTGTTCTTTGTCATGTCCTAGACCAACACATCTATATGTGTGAAGGCTGTTAGCACTCTGTGAGAACATGCAAAAGAAATTGCATTCTAAGAACACTTAGGCTATTTATGTCATTTTCTCTGCAGATTCACTTTCACTTTTAGAAAGAGACACTTGTCCTAGGCAATTTACTATAGAGATGTTTCTAACACTAAAGATTAGCAATACAGCTTCCTGTCTACAGAGGACAAATAAGAAGTCATAGACTGCAAGGCTATATAGTTGTTTAAGACAATTCAACAGAAGTTTTAAGAATTAAATATCAGAAGGAAGGTTTTTGGTTTTTCAAGGCAGGGTTTCTCTGTGTAGCTTTTGGAGCCTGTCCTAGAACTAGCTTTTGTAGACCAGGCTGGTCTTGAACTCACAGAGATCTGCCTGCCGCTACCTCCCAAGCACTGGGATTAAAGGTGGTGTGCCACCACCAGCCAGCCCCAGAAGGTAGTTTTTGTTTTTGTTGCCAAAGTCCCTCTACTGTATGTTGCTTTTCTGTTGCTGTGATAAAAAACCTGACCAGCCATATCTCGGGATGGCCTTGAGGTGATGTATCTGAGGCTGGCTTTGAATGTTTTCCATCTGTGTGTACTGGGAATACATGAGCCACATGCTTGAGAGTGGAACTAAGGTGTCATGTATGCTACACAAGCACCCTACCAACTGAGTACATTCCCAGCTTCAGTTTATTGGCTTCTAACTAGCATCTTAGAGAAATAAAAATAGAACATGGAAAAACACAACTTCTTTTGCAGGGGTTTTTCTGTGAAATATTTATTTCATTAAGCATTTGTGTAAAATTAAATTCACAGTATGTGTCACAGTTGAAACAGTATTCTCCCTATAAACTCTTTTTTGGTGTGGTTGAGTAGAGTTTTCCTGCATAAGTTTGTCTGTCCCACCACTCTCACAGTATTGTGACTTTGAGCCCTAACTTCTTTTCTTCTCACCTGTAGAAGGGGCTAATATTAGTGTACACCCCATAAGGTTTCTGTAAAGATCAAATGAGTTAATTCAACTGTTCAAGTGTATCAGGATCTTTTCTGTTGTGATAAAAACACCCTTGACCAAAAAATGACTTATGGAAGAAGGAGTTTATTTTGGTTTACTACAGGTGCAGGTGGGATGTCCATAATAGAGAAGGAGACATGGCAGCAGGTGGCCATAGCAGCCAGCTCACAACCACAGATGTGAAGCAGAGGGAATGATTTGGAACTGGGGGAGGCTACAAACTCTCAAAGCATAAGGCATGACATTCTTCTTCCAGCAAGGCTGTACCTGCTGAAGTTTCCATAACACCCCCCCTCCACTCACACACCCAAACAGTGCCACCTATTAGGACCCATATGTTCAAACACCTGAGCTCCACACATGGCTGAGTCCATGGTTTCTGCAGTATCTGCACGCGTGATCTCATCCATTCTGCCACTGTAAGTCCTTCCTAAATGTCGATAGAAATTGAATTTACATCTTTGGCTCAGTTTTCTCCTCTGAACTTAAACTTGCAGACTCAGCTCCCTATTTTACATTTCTTTTAGAAATTCCAAAGGTATTTAAAACTCAAATATTTGATTTTTTTAAAAAACATTTATTTATCTTGTCCAACACCTGTGTATAATATTTATGTATGAGTGTAGGTACACACATGCTATAATACATGTGTGGAGGGCTGAGGACAGGTTGCAGGAGTTAGTTCTCCTTTTCCGCCATGTGCATTATGAGCATAAACTCAGGTCATCAACCAGATTTGGCAACAATTGCTCTTACCCATTGAGCCCTGTTGCTGCTAAAAATGATGTTTCTAAAACAGCTTTTGATCCCACCCTTCTCCTAAAGCAGCCTTTCCTCCAGCATTTCCTGTATCAGTAATGAGCACTGTCCAGTTACTGCAGCCTGAAACCCAAGCAGCATTTGTTTTCCTGTAGATCCAGCACATCAACACCTACTCTCACTTAACCCTCCAGTAGCTCCTCCTGGCTCCATCCTTATATTACTTGGCTCTGGTAAGCCTTTGCACACCTGGTCCTGTGAACCTGCTTCCGATCCTAAGCCCTGAAGCTGGGGTGATTGCCAGGACACACATCAGCTGTGTCTGTTCTCTGATTAAAACCACAGAGGACTTCCCATTGCACTTAGGACTAAATCCGGATTCCTCATTGCCCTAAAAGGGGCTACACATGATATTTCCCCCACTGCTCTTCCCCTCTTCTCCAGGTCTCCTTTTTCTTCTTCTTCCTGTTTTGGCCATTCTGACCTCTTAGAAGCTTGAACTCACACTAAATTCACACTTTTGAGACTTCATGTGCACCCTCTGCTGGGACAGTGTCCTCTTTCCCATCCCACAAATGCTTATTTACTATTCTGTATCCATTTAAGTCTATTTGTATTGGTTCCTTATGTCGTATAGGGGAAATACATAGCAGATGATGACAAATGCTGTGGAAGAAGTGACTGGATTCTGGGATGTACTCCCAACCCCCTATAATCTTGCTTTGCTTGTAGTACCCAGTCTGCAATAGTTTGTCATTGTCTAGTCTGTCTCAGTGCCTTGCCTCAGATCATATCCATTCATAGCATTTCCCACATTTTAGTAATACATTGATTCACTCCTGTGTCCTTCTTCCATTCTTAATTTATTCATTGTTGTGTATAAATGAATGAGTAAGTAAATGTATCAAAATGGACAGTTGCTAACTTGGGAAGCAATACAATACATGAATATGCTTTTACCATTTTATGTTAATAATCTTTTCAGTATTGTGTGTTGCAGTATTCTTCCACTTGGGGGCAGTTACACATCTGTGATTAAATTTATCTAGCTTATTTCAAACTTCTTTCTTCTGTAGTTTTCATATACCTGTTTTATTTTGTTTCGATTTTTTTTCTTTTTTTTCCGAGACAGGGTTTCTCTCTGTAGCTTTGGAGCCTATCCTGGCACTCGCTCTGGAGACCAGGCTGGCCTTGAACTCACAAAGATCTGCCTTCCTCTGCCTCCCGAGTGTTGGGATTAAAGGCGTGTGCCAGCCCGGCTCATATACCTGTTTTATAATAAGAGGTCCCAGTTATGTTTATAGAAGTCTGTATTTCTGCTTCCCTTATGCTTTTGTTTTTCTGCTACATCATCCCTTGGACAATATAATCTCACATTTCCAGTGTGTAACTCACCACACAGCTGTGTTCTAGGTTTTCTTTAGGAAGGGGTTAGGTGTGTGGGTGGTCCACCTTTCTTGTCAGCATCATAAGTGAACAGAGTGACCCTAATACAAGATGCATGTAGACAACTCCCTGTCAGCAGCACTCAGATTTCATGTATCTGTAACAGTGTACTTTTATTATCTCTATTTGTTTCTACATCCCTCTAACTTCCTTTAGTGTACTCTACCCTATCTTCCTCTTAACTTCAAGTCCTCCTCCTTTGGGCTATTAATACCCCCAACCCCCAAGATCAATTAGTGCTGCTAATATGTGATAGGTATAGAGCCGTCATTGGGGTATGGACAACCTACCAGTGTCATGTCCTCAAAAGAGCATGAATCTCTCTCCCTCAGCAACCATCAACTGCCGGTAGTTCCTCTGCCAAGGGTGGGGCCTTAGAGGCCCCTCCTCGATCCATGCTGGCATTTTGACTGGTGTGGTCTTGTGCAGGTAGTCACAGCTGCTGTGAGTTGATGTGTGCAATCGCTATGTCATGTCCAGATGTCAGCACTTCACAGGTTTCCTCCTCAACCAGTGCTTAAAATTCTTTCTTCCCCCTCTTCCATAATGTTCCCTAAACCTTATGGTTATTTATAATGGCACTTTGACCAGTTATGAGTCCTCTGCATTAATCACTCACTGCCTACTGCGAAAACAAGCTTTGCCAATGGTGGTGATGGCATACACCTTTAATCCCAGCACTCAGGAAGCAGAGGCAGGCAGATATCTCTGAGTTTGAGGCCAGCCTTGTCTACAGAGTGAGTACCAGGACAGCCAGGGCTACACAGGAAACCCTGTCTCAAAAACAAAACAAAACAACAACAAACAAATAAAAAGCATAAAAGACAAGTTTATCCCACCAGAGTTTGAGAGCAAGAGCAACACAAATCAGAGGTTCTGAACATCAATATTTAGAAGACAGCTTAACCAATAAGCAAAACAACAACAGTAAATTCCTAGGGCCTGTGATTTCAACCATATTTACAGTACCAGCCATGGAATCCCTTCTGTGAAGCCAAATTAAAATCTAATTGCAAAGTTGTTGGTTACCCCATGACATGACAATCATGACAGTATTGTCACTGATGTGCACATATTGCCAGTCTGGTTAGTATTGTAGCATGCAGGGTCTAGTGCTGGATGAGATCATTGATATCCCCCACCTTCCCCCAACAGCCTGGGATTTCTCACCATTTCCAAATAGTAATTATCACAACCTGCCAGGTATGTTGCCAATGTATATTTATTTATACTCATGATTCTTGTCACTTCTAGGTGAGGTTGGTATAGTTACTATTAAAATAAATGAAGCACAGAGAGTAATGAAGCCTACCATGTCATAGTAAGCAGAAGAGTGGTTAAAGGCAGGGATTCTGGTTCCAGCGCTTGTATCCTAAATTTGTACCTCATTACTTGGATCCTCCAGAGGCAATCACTGTTTTTATATGGCCTTAAAAAAAACTAGTCCCTCCCTCCCTCCCTCCCTCCATCTCCTCCTCCCCCTCCCCCATCTCTCTCATTCTGGTGCATGGTATGAAGTATTTTCTCACCTACCTTGTTGAGGCAGGTCTACTTGTTTCTGTTTCTGCTGCTATGTTGTATATATACTCCAGGCTATCTGGCTAGTGAAGTTCTGGATCACCAAGAAAAAAAGAAATGTGTGTGTGTGTGTGTGTGTGTGTGTGTGTGTGTGTGTATGTGTAATCAAGTACTTGTGTGTGTGTATGTGTAATCAAGTACTTGCCCTAAAGTTTATTTATGATTTGTTATCATTGTATGTTTATGGACCTGTTTTATTTGCCTATATACCTGTGGTCACATAGAAATTTCTCACTTGAAAATGGGTCAAGAATGGAAAAGTTGAGGAAGCCTTGGCTTATATAGTTGGGTTTCTTTGTGAGGAGATTTCCAAATGAAGTCTTAGGCTGTTTCTTAGAGTCTGGCTTGATTTGTTTGGATGACTTGATTTTGTTAGTTTACTTGGTGCGATGCCTGGCACATAAGAGGACCTGAGTAACTGTTAAATTAACAATTTAAAAGAGGAATAAGGAGCCAGTGAGATGGCTCATCAAGTAAAGGCACTTGACACCACATCTGGTGACCAGAATTTGATCGTTGAGACATGTGCACATGCATACACAACACACACATATAGAATAAATATATAATTTAAAAATGGAACAAAAGAAATAATCACATTATTTAAATCTGTGGTATGTCTTAAAAACATTTTGTTTGTTAGGTTTGATTACTTAGAGGATTGAGAGGGAAGAATATTTAGTTTTATTTAGGTATAGGGTTGCTTTCTCTTGGATAATACAAGTCGCTATCAGTTGTTTTGAGTCTCTTGAGGTAAGGTGAATTATGTGCATATGATTATATACATTATTTCTGTGTATATTTAAGAATACATCTTTTATGTGTGTGTGCCTCAGTTATGAACTTGGATACATTTTAATATTAGAATTGTATGGCCCTCATGGTCCCCTCACATTACCTGTCTGTGAAGTACTGTGTGAGTGACTTCAGACAGTGTGTGGGGTGGAGGGGACCTGTTCCTGGCTTGTGGTTAGTCAGTAATGAAACCCTTCCATTTAGTATTAAAGCAGATTCTAAAATATAGAAGCTTTCAGAGCAGCCAGGTGTGCACTGCTGCGATGCACAGCATGTTCAGCCTCTGCTGCTCTTACAGGTGCTTGTGAGGGAACTTTGGCTTGTTCTACCTGTCACCTTATCTTTGAGGATCATATATATGAGAAGTTAGATGCCATCACTGATGAGGAGAATGACATGCTTGACCTGGCTTATGGACTAACAGACAGGTGAGTAGGTTTTGTTGGTTAGTTTTGTTTGAAGGACAGGATTTTAACTGTTGGTCAAGGTGGTCTCACACTTGTGTGTGCTGAGATTACAGGCATAAGGTATAATGCCTGATCCATCAGGTAAGACTTTAAGGCTGCTTCACTGTTACTGACAGCCTGGGAAAATCTACATTATATTCCTTTGGGTCTAAGATCACACCCATGAGTAGAAGTACCCTTGTAGGTAGACAACAACCATGAAGTTTGAACATCCTTTGGGAGCATTTCTCTTACACTGTCTACAATTGACCCCCATGAAAGTTTTCCTTTTACAAAAGTCAAAGAATTAATTGATAGTGATATGATTTCTAAATCCTAATACATCTTCTTTAGTCTATTTTTATGCCAGGAATTAGTATTTATACAGTATCATAGGATGGAATTAAGCGGAATGCTTTTAATCGTATTCTTGAAGGACAGATTTGATAATTGAACAAAATTATAGTGGAAATGTTTACCTGTCTTAGAGAACTGAATTTTCAAAGAAGCTTAATATATAATAGTAATTGTGTTAAGGTAAGTAGTTCTTTTTCTAAGTGTGTATTAAAGTAAATTAATCAGAGCTTATTAATTAGTAGGTAGAGTTTCTCTTAAACATGGTGAGCTTCATAGTAGCAGGTGGCATTAGTGATACTATTTTTAATTATCCAGTCTTAGAGTCAGGAAGCCTTCGTCATGATTTACTGTTTCAAGGCATAATTAAGGAGACTTACTGCTTACAGAGTGGGCTTTGTTTAACTGTATTTTGCTACCTTAATGAAGGATAACTTCTTAAAAACTTTTTTACCTTACATGATCTGGGTTTCATATGGTAAGAATAAATCTTAAGCAGTTATAGTGATAATGCTAATTTGTTAATTTCAGTTTGTTCCTTTTATAGTTCATCTCTTCCCTGTTTTCTGTTCTGTTTGGTTTTGATGCTAAGGGCCTTGTTCATGCTGGCCAAAGCCCCCTGCCTGTCAGTCAGCTATGTCCCCAGCCTCCACCTCCCTCTTATGGAGGTGAGACTAATATAACACTCTGGGAAGAAAGACAAAGAGCATCATACCTTTTCTATCCAAGCTTGCTATGTTGCTGCCCTGACCTCTAGATGTTCTCTAACCCGTGATGTGCTTGTTCTCTCCTCACTGGCCTACAGTATTCTGCTTTGCCTCACTGACAGTTGCTTTACTTTCTAAATCCATAGTTCCTTAAAGGGTAGCATTGTCTTACTCATCATTTATGAACATGTGGAGTATATGACTGTCTCCCTAAGGCCTCCCAAGTCCTATAAAATATGTATTGCTTTGCAATCATTTTTTGCTCTTGAAGATAGAGCTTGGTGTGTATTGTCAAGGCTGTTTCTAATTCTACAAAGAAAGACTACTGATGGGTGGTGGTTTTTATTTTTTCTTCTAACCATCAACATTCCCTGTGGTTAAACTGGCTTCCTTATTCCAGGACTCCCCAGTGGTGCCTCGCTATATCTAAATTTATGTGGCCCTGGCTACTTTTAAAACTAGTTTTCCATGTAATTTTTCTTTTTCTCCTCTTCTTTTTTTTTTTTTTCCTCAGAGGAGGGTGTCAGGATTGGATTGGGGCCTTTTGCACATTAGGCAAGTGCTCTGTCACTGAGCCACATCCCAGCCCATTGCTTGTCCTTGTCAGTGCTTTACAGCAACAAATTGAAGCACCTCCTTCACCTGAGATGTTCTTCTCAAGTTCCTTGCCTCTTACTAAATGTGAAATCTTACCCACCATCTTTCCTGGACACAAGTATGGTTTTCCCCTCATAAGGGATTCATTTTTTCTGTTTGTGTGGCATTTGCCATAGTCTCACATGCTAATTACTAGTGAGTTGCCTCGTCTCATCTGATTGAAAGTTCACTCCATACTGTTGACATTAGCAATTAGTCTCTTCAGCAGTCCTGTGAAGAAGTCTTTTATTCTGCATCTTGATGATCAGGTTAGGAAATAATAGAAAGTTGCCTGTGAATACACTGTTACTGCTGATTTTGGACCGCTGGCCAGTTTTCTCTAAATCCTGTGCTTTCCTTTGAATACCACTCAGGTGCCCAACATGTAACAGGTGTTATTAAGAAAGCATTGAATTGAGTACTCTATGTATACCCGTTAACATATAGTACTGTTCCCATTGACATTTAGTAGTACACCAATTGACATTTAGTACTGTACCATTGACATTTAGTGGTTGTTGAATCCATTAAGAAAGCCAATGCCTTCAGAACATGTTTTGTCAAAGACAGTTTGATTGTAAGATTAACCTTTTTGTTTTTCTTTTTTTCCCCAGTATTGGGAATTGAACCCAGGGCTTTGCACATGCTAGGAAAGTACTTTACACTGAACTATGTCCCAGCTCTTTATATACTTTTTAAATTTTGAGATTGAATTGAAGTTAAATTGAAGCTGGAATTCTTACTCTTCAGCCGAGGCTGGCCCTCAACTTGCAGTCCTCTTGTCTTAGCCTCCTAACATACAGATTTGCATCTACTAGGTTCCTCTAGTGCTGGTAATTTTGGTTTTATAATCCTTTTGAACTTATTTCAAAAGGTTAAAAAATTTGGAATCAAAATACTTCTCTTACTCAGTTGGGGACACTGGTGTGTATATTGTAGCCTAGGTCACAGCTATGACACAGCAGCCACCTCACTGTAGCAGTGACTGTAAGATGCCATTGGCTTTAAGGTGGACCTTGATTTCAGAGATGTTAAAAGTATGGGGGAAATATATTCTTACAATTGATAGTTTGAGTCTGTGAATTTCATTCTTGTCTTAAAGGCTTTTGCTGTTACTATCTGGCAGGATCTCATATCCTAGCATTGTCTCTTTACTTCTGTGTAGCTAAGGATGGTCATGAACTTCCGACCTGCTTCCATCTTTAAGTGCTGAGATTACAGATGCTTGCCACCATGGTTGTTTGGTGCTGACCTTCTGCTGCCCTCTACTTGGCATGGATGGTGGTTTCTGCTTTGGCCTAATGAAAACTTAAAAGATTAGCAAATTCTCTAACTATTGGACAAGAAAGTATAAAAACATCCTAAACAACTACATGCTTGTGAATGACATGTATCCAATACTAAACTGAGCCTCCCTTCTTTCCTTGCAGGTCACGGTTGGGCTGCCAAGTCTGTCTGACCAAAGCTATGGACAATATGACTGTTCGTGTGCCTGAGGCAGTGGCAGATGTCAGACAGTCTATTGACATGAGCAAGAATTCCTAAGATACAATAAAAGGAAATATTTTCATGAAATTTTTACCTATTTTTATAATTATTTCTCAGTATAATTAAATGATTACACAACAAAATGTATTTCTCAGTGTGAGTAGCTGTGCTGTCTTAATTCAGTTTGTAGTACCAAAAGACTGCAGTTTTGTTTTGAATAAATTATTAAAATGTCAGTTTAATTTTAGAAGGTGGCTGATATAATAAACTCCTTATACATTTTGCCATTAGTGTGTTCAGTGATTTTAGCAAAACATTACCATGTAATCTTATGTCTGCTTTATTAAGAGGTAAGTTTAAAAAGAGTATCACTGGGGCTAGAGTTCAATTCCTAGCACCCACATGGCCACTCATGGTTTGTCACTCTACTTCTAGCCTCCACAGATACTGCGTGCATTTGGTATATAGGTAAAACATTTACACACATGAAATACAGATTTCAAGAAACAAGTTGTAAAAAACTTATCATTGTTCTTGTTTCATGTAGGCAGTAGATCTCCATCTAACATGACTTGACCAGGTTGTAACCAGAGAGTCTGTTCTTCTGGCTGTCAGTTTTATGTTCAGACTGAAACTGGAGACATTATGAAGATCTTAACTGAGGTTGGCAGAGCTGTGTTACAGAGGACATCATGTGACCTCTCAAACAGTACAGACACGAGGCTGGCCGAGATTGACATAGCCCACTGGAACCACTGCAGCTGGTCCTTTACTTCATGATAATGGCATTTCTGTATCATTAGCCTTAAAAAAAAATCTGTTTCTGTTGTCCACCTGGTGCAAGGACATATTCAGAAACTCTACTTAGGGATAAAAAGGGTAAGAGTTAACTCTATTCAGGGAAATCCTGGTCCATTCCTGGAATTCTGTAGTGTGCCTTAACTTATGACTAATTTCCCCCTCCTGAAAATTTGCCTGCAATACAGTGTCTTAAATCCCATGCTACCCATCTCTCTCAGGAGCCTTCACTCACCTTTGGGTGTGTCCTTTTGTACTATAATAAAACTTTTCTTCAGTTCTTACTTTGTCTTCTCTTAATTTTGTTCTTTGATGGTGGAAAGAACCTGGAAATACTGGGAAGATGCCTCAGTCTGCTCTGCCTTGGAGAACTGACTGCTCAGCCTTCATCCACAGGCAGTGGTATGTATGGCAGTGTTTAAATGTATATGTGTGTGGAAAAGACAGCAAAACCTTATAAATAAGTATTTCAAAATTTTGATTCAGTAAGAAGTATAATCTGAATATAGATGGAATAACTGATGGAGATTTGTGGTGTCTGCTGACTAAGCTAGGGGAATAAGCAGAATTGGATGTCTTTATCCTCTATTCCAAGAGGAGTACTCTATCCATGTAATCTTTTGAAAATAATGTGTACATTGTTTCCACAGAATGGAAGTCTAATGAATTACTTCTGTGTCTCTCCAGTCATACCATATGATCAGGGTACCATGTTGCACGGCTCAGGAGATACTGTTCTGTCTCTCCTTGTATACAATCTTCTCAGCAGTGTGTAACAGTTCCAGAAACTAGTGAGTATCTTCAGCATACTGATAAGGCTGAGTATCCTTATCTAAACCAAAAATAGAATTCTTCAGTGATCACAAAGTGAACACAGACATGCTGCTATTGCATGTAAGGCCACATTGTGCTCTTTGTAGTTAAACAACTGATTTTGGAGAAAAACAGAATAAAGGGGTGGGAAGGAAAAGCATAAACATAGTTCACTTTGAATACCCCACTGCAGTTTGTTCATTTGAATAAGTTTGTAAAACTTGACAAACAGCATCATGTTATACTACATAAATTGATGGATGAAAAGATAGGACATCTCTCTAATGCCTCCTCTTCACAGGGTTCAGGGATTTAACAATGGAAAAGGGGCAGAAAGACTAAGAGCCTGAGGTGTGGGCATTGGTAGAATAACAGAGCTCTTGCACATGTGAACTTACAGATGCTGTCACTTGTTGCAGAAGATCAAGCAAGCCGAAATCCAACATGCTGGGGGGAAGGAAGACTTTCGAATCTTCTTCTAGCTAAGGAGTTACTAGCAATTGATGGCTACTGGGAAAATCAGTTTTCCCAGGGATGTAGCCCTTGAGATGCTGCCACACTTTGGTAGATGATCCTACATGCAGGCAACACCATTATTTTATATGTATGGGTGTTTGCTTGCATGAAGGTCAGTGCACCATACACACACAGTGTCCATGAAAGCCAGAAGAGGGAGTTGGATCCCCTGGAACTGGAGTTAGTACTGTGAGCCTCCACATGGATACTGGGAGTCAAACCAGAGTCCTCTGCAGGAACAGTCAGTACTCCTAACCCCTGAGCCATCTGTCTAGCCTCTGACTCAGTGGGTTTTAAAAGATGAGCAAGTGAAGTTGGGAAGAAAAAGTGGTAGAAGGGATAGGGAGCTTACTTGGAGGGAAGAGAATGGGAAGTGGGTTTGATTAAAATACATGCATGTGTGAAATTCCCAAAGAATAGGAAAAAGGATGACCAAGAGGCAGAATGCCCTCAAGGAGAACAAAATGACTATATGCACACATAATTTCCTTGCCAAACTGATCCATGTGCCGTTTTGGGGGTGGTGGTGATTTGCTTATTTTTGTTTTCTCAAGACAGGGTTTCTTTGCGTTATAGCTCTGGCTGTCCTGGAACTCACTCTGTAGACCAGGCTGGCCTCGAGCTCACAGAGATCTGCCCACCTCTGCTTCCCAAGTGCTGGATTAAAGGCGTGTGCCACCACCACCACCCAGCTTTATTTATTTTTTAAATTAATGCAGAAATAGAGACTAGGAAGATCTTGAATCATCTTGTGTTTCTTTACTGCTTAGTGGCTAGAATCCTTTTTATATGGAGCATGCTGTACTTTGAAAGTTCTTCCAAGCAATTTATTAATTAGCATTAGTATTTTTATACACAGATCACCTAAACTCACCTTTTCAGAACATTTTAACACTGATACACATCATGGTCTAAATTACCTCAAATTATGAAAGTTAACAGTGTATATTTGTATGCAGCCTCACCTTATTAGATGGAGACCATTGAATAATCGGTTTCTATAAGGATGAGTTTTCTACTTTGAAGAAAGAACCTTTTGGTATTTGGAGCATGTGCACTCTAGGTATTATTGTATTGGCTTCTCTATTGGGATAAACAAGTTTTCCCAAAATCTCAGTGTCAAACAGTATCTTCTGTTTCTTCAGACAGCTCCTGTAAGTCAGCAATGTAGATGGCAAGGAGTGAGATGATCTGTCTGCTACCCTGGGTCTGTGGATGCAAAGTTGAGGTGCTTTATCCTAGTTTGCCTTTCCATTGCTGTAATAAAACATCAACCAAAAGTAACTTGGGAAGGAAAGGGTTTACTTTATTCTTACATATTACTTTCCATCATGAGGGAAGCATAGGCAGGAAGTCAAGGCAGGACTCTGGAGACAGGAATTGAAGCAGAGACTGACCATGGAGGGATTGCTTACTGGTTTGTTCAGCTACCTTTCTTATGCAGTCCAGACGCATAGCCCAGGAATGACACTGTTTACAGTGGGCTAAGCCTTCCTGCATTAATTAGCAGTTACTAAAATGCCCCCCATCCACACATACCCACAGGCCAATCTGATGAAAGCAAATCCCCAATTGTGACTTAAGTGAACAAAAACTAAACAGCTGTGGTGGAATCTTGTGCACACTTAGCCCTCATGACTGGGTGACTGTCAGGAGTAGACAGGGCTTTTGGCAAAGCATGCTGGCTGGAACACCCACAGTGTGGCCTGGCTTCCTTACACAGCAGTGGCTGAGTTCTAAGGCCAGGCATACTGCAAATGGTGCACACTGCAGGTAGAAACACTGGATTTTTTTAAGCAAACAGTGTCCTAAGCTTTTTTTTTTTTTTTAGTTCAAGTTAAGGAACAAGCTTGTTTCACATGTAAGTCCCTTCTCCCTCTCCCTCCCCTTACCACCATCCCTCCTCCCCCACCCCATCCACCCACCACTCCCCAGTAAGGGTAGAGCCCTCAACGGGGGTGCTCTGCAAAGTCCACCAAATCTTCCTGTGCTGGGCCTGGGCCCTTCCCCATGTGTCCAGGGCCAGAGTGTAACCCTTCACGTGGGATGGGCTCTCACAGTCCCTTCTTACACCGGGGAAAAATACTAATCCACTACCAGAGGCTTCCTGGAGTGCAGAGGCCTCCTTATTGACATCCATGTTCAGGGGTCTGGATCAGTCTTGTAGTGGCCTCCCAGACAGCATCTGGGGTCGATGTGCTCTCCCTTGTTCAGGCCAACTGTTTCTGTGGGCTTCTCCAACCTGGTACAGACTCCTTCAATCTTCATTACTCCCTCTCTTCAACTAAATTCCAGATTTCAGCTCAGTGGATGTCTGTGGATGTTTGTCTCTGCTTCCATCAGCCACTGGATGAGGGCTCTAGGATGGCATAAAGCGTAGTCATCAATCTCATTTTAGGGGAAGGGCTTTTAGGTTATCCTCTCCACCATGGCCTGGATTGTCAGATGGTGTCATCCTTGTAGGTCTCTGGAGATCTCCCTAGTTCCAGATCTCTTCTCAGACCTATAATGGCTCCCTCTAATATGGTATCTCTCGTCCTGCTCTCTCTCCTCTATTCTTCCCCCAACTCAGTATTTCTGCTCTTCCATTTCCTCTCCTCTACTCCTCTTCTTTTGCTCTTATTGTGGCAGCACCCTCTCCCCTACCCTCGTGCCCCCAATTAGCTCAGGAGTTCATGCCACTTCCCATTCCTGGGTCCATTTATCCCTTAGAGTCCTTCATGTATAGTAGTTTCTTTGGTGAAGAACATCCTAAGCTTTTAAAGAGAAACTACTTGTTCGTCTTGCATTACATTTTGAAATACTTTGTGTTGACTGTATTATGATGGTTTGTTTCTTTAACTCATACTATTTTTCCCCTTGACTATTGATTGAAAGGGAGCAGTGACGGATTCCCTTTGAATTCTGTGTAAGGCTGGTTTCCTTTTCTTAGTAATTTTATGTCTTCAGAGAAGTGTCTTCCTTTGGTGGTATACTCTATAATTGTTGACTGTGTGCTAATGCTTAATATTATATTTGGATTTTGCAATAAACCCATAACCTGCAATTATATAAGTGCTTTAGAACTACTCTGTGGTTTTTTTTTTTTTTAAGGAAACTATTCAAGGAATTTCTGAAACCTTTTGCCAGCATTAACTGTGAACACTCATATTTCATCTTAAAGGACAGCTTCCATGTTTTCCTGGTGGCTATGTTAAGAATCACATGGTGGCTCTCATGGCCAATGTGGTGGTCATTCCCCATTTCACTTGAAACATTTTCTAAGGGAGACATGGACTGTGTTGTCCTGTCTTTTTCTTCCTTTTTGCTATTCTCCTTAATGACTCTCCTTAAGCTGCCTGGAATTCTGTGGGAAACCACATTTTGGAACAGAGTTTGTACACATGGCTTTCTTGTTTATGGGATAACTTACTGTGTTGTAAAACCCAGAAATAATGTGCTGTGTGTTCACTCCTGAAAATAGTGTGTGAAATTAAGACCACAGTGAGACATAAAGACTGGGTTTCCTGTTTGAGAAATATTGATGACTAGAAATATGATCTTGGCAAAGAAGCAATAAGGATTCCTTCGTGTGTCGGCACGTCACATATCACGTTACCCTTATCAGACTTCCTTCTGTTTATAATATGCTGGATACTGAAAAATCAGATAACCACCTGGCAAGAGGAAGGCATGGTCATTAGCAGACAAATGTGGGTATAACAGGACTGAAATGGGGAGGGTTTTTTTTTGGGGGGGACAGGGTTTCTCTGTGAAATAACTCTAGCTGTCCTGGAACTCCCTTTGTAGACCAGGCTGGCCTTGAACTCACAGAGATCTGCCTGTCTCTGTGTTCCGAGTGCTGGGATTAAAGTGTGTGCCACCACTGCCCAGCCAGAAGATACACTTCTGCACATGCTGACAGCAGTGAAATGTCTCATAGCTTCTTGGTTGCCTTTCATTTCTCAGTTTAT